ACACACGCACACACATATACATATATATTTACAGAACAGAGAGTCAACAGACGACGTTCTTACATTTTATTCATTCATAAGAAAAAGACATTTTCATATATTATCAGGGGATTCTTCACTCCATCATCATCATCATCATCATCATCATCATCATCGCTGCGCAGACCCCGCAGTGTTGTGCATTTTCACAGTCTCACACATGTTGCCAGAACTGACCCATATTTCAAGTATTGATAATAAAAAAAAAGCAGAAGAAAAAAAGCAGAAACAAAAACAAGTTCAAACTCTGCTTCCACTGTCTCAGTGTGGGATTTCCAGAAAACAAATCCAACAAAAAAAAAAAAAAAAGGAACACACACACACAGAGAGAGAGAGAGAGAGAGAGTTGCTCTATATCTTAGTCGACCGTCCACACTACATGGATTCAATGGTGGTGGACCATCTTTTTTTTTTATTTTTGTTTTCAAACCTGGAATCTGGAAATAAAGGCAGGGTGGGTGAAATGATCGGACGTGAAAAGCAGTTAAAAAAATGTCCATAAAAACTAAAGCGGGGAGGGGGTGGGGCAGAGGGAAGAGTGCAGGTCAGAGGAGGAAGTCGTTTGCTTGGCACAGCCGCACAAGCAGAAAACACAGCAATAAATAATCAGCAACCGTCCCACCGTCTGCTGAAAAAAAACCAAAAAAAAAAAACCAGGAACGCTTAAAAGCTTTTACTCATTAGAAGTATTACTGTGTACTGTAAATATTCACAGCCTGTCGTGGAACCCGGACCAGCAGTATTGTGTTGTAATGCATAGATTTGGCGCTGTCCAATTTTGGCACGTTTTGTCCTCCTTACGGGAAATAACACGAGGTTTCCTTCGTCTGTGGTTAAAGTACAGACAGCGACGACTACTGACACCGAGGTGGAGAAACACACGGAGAGAAAAAAATAAATAAGAAAAAATAAGAAAGAAAGACAATCGGTGCCGTCGTCAAATCAGCTGATCACAGACAGACTCTGGACACGTCCATCTGACTTTAATATAAAAATGTCCTCACACCTGTTGAGACACACAGTATCAGTGGACGGGCCTTAAGTTTGTCAGCAGACCTGTATGTGTGTGTGTGTGTGTGTGTGTGTGTGTGTGCGAGTCGACCCCTCTAAGCTCCTCCAATGGGATTTAACACACACACATGCACACAGAACGCAGGGCTCTGCCGTAAACGTCAGGGGCCAAAATGAAATTGCAAATTCATTTTTCAACAGAGCGAGACATTTTTTAATGTTGATATTACTGAACGTTTGTGTTTGAAAGTGAAAGTTGAACCAAAATTATTTCAACTTTTTGCATAAGGAATTAAATGTATTTTAAAAAAATAAAACAATAAATGATGACAAACCAAATAATGCACAGGTGTCAAACTCAGGCCCGGGGGCCAAATCTGGCCCAAATATGTAATTATATTTGGCCCTCGAGATCATATCAAATGTGTACTAGAGTTGGCCCGCCAGTATATAGCCTCTAAATACTGGCAGGATTTGTAGTATTAGCGGTGTATGCACTATGTCATAGTACATACTTTTTTGTTTTTTTGTTGTTGGTCTGTGAAAAAAAAAAGATTTACATTAAAAAGGAACTCGAACGTCTACAGATATACACAAATACTGCTGTTTACAGAAAACAAAAGTTGGTTTTTATATGAAATAATTCTTCATTTTATATCTGGAGAGAATGGAAAACAAAGGCGCAATTGCCGTCAAATTTTTCAATAAATATTAAGTTCGTAAGTTTTTAATTTCGGCCCACGGTGAATGTGAGTTTGACAGCTCTGCAGTAATGTTTGTAACTCTGGACATTTGAACTGATGTTAAAAAATCAATGTAGTAATTAGTTATAGAGCTGTCGATGTTGTCTGTGACGACGCACGTGTTTATGAATAATTTCTAGACACACTGAAAAAATATTACTCTGACGGAGGAAACAAATCGAAGACACACCCGCAGTAGACACGTCGTCTACGTTTGTACAGAACATGGAGAGACGTGAAACCCAAAGAACTCCATCCTCACAGTGAAACGCATCAAAAATACAATATTTCTAATACTTTTATATATTAATTTTGTCTCTTTTTTTCAAAGTTAAATAAATCATCCCCTCTAAATAAATCTAGTCAGTGTGGCGTTCTACCTTCTCCAGTTAAATACATGTAGGATCGGCTTCACTGTTCACTCTGAACTGATCTCAGGTGTGAATGTGAGTGTGAATGAAGCAGAAATGTTGTGTTGAATGCACTTGAGAAACTAGTATACTTAGAAGTACTTCAGTATTCAAATGAAAGTATTTCAGTTCAAGCTTGACGACACAGTGTTCACAGGTCAACGCAAACAAGTTTCCACCTCCTCCTCCTCCTCCTCCTCCTAATTCTCCCCCTCCTCTTCGTCTCCTGTCTTGCCTCTGACCTTTGCCATCTGACCTCATTTCAGCGTCGACTGACTCCACCACACCACTGCGTTGCCCAGCACGACTCAGCACAGCTAAATCCACCGAGGGCATGCATCGGTGTCACGGCAGATCTGGTTATTAAAGGTCTTCAACTCGACCCCTGCTGTCTGTCTCTGGTCACTGCAGCCACCTGTGATTCAGCCCCGGGCTGAGACTGTCAGGTTCACCAAGTATGAGGAAATAAAACTGAGTTCTGGCCTGGATGGAGCTCAAACTTGATCTAGAGGAACCGGTACCGGGAACTAGGCATCACATCGGTACTGGGCCTTTCCACTGCAAAAACAACAAACTCCATGGACAACAGTGGATCGCAGGTCAATCCGACCTTTTCCAAACTGATCAAAGAACTGACAGAACTGTAAATCCACCACGGACTCTGCTCCTGACCAATGAGAGACAAGGAACCGCAGGCACTTTTGTGATGTTTTTTGGTGAGTGGGACATGCACGGCGGCCTGGTGCTGTTGGACGCAGAATTCATTTGCATAAATTTCATGGCGCTATCACTGTAGTGGAAATCCAAGTACACACTGACACTGACAACAGGAACAATTTAGAGTAAAATTATTATTTTTTTTTATATTCCATGTTTTGAACATTGGAATAATATAATATTTGATAGAAGAAGAAAAGTTTTGTTCCAAAAAAATGATTTATATATTATATCATCTGTTAGACACATCAAACCCTAAACACATTAATTAAGATATAAGGCGTCGTTTACTGAGATTAAAAACAAGACGACGATGACGGGAAAAGAGCAGCAGATTTGACCATGACTGAGGCCTGTGGTAATCATTTAATTAAAATGGCCTGGAGAAAAACCCGTCTGATTAAAAAAAAAGAAAATCATTTTTTCGTTTTGCAGCTGAACTCATTACTTGGCGTTGGCTGACCGGAGCTGTAAGATGAGATTGTGTGTGACTCCCACATTAGCGGGCGGTGAATTGAGCCCAGCGTGTCTGCAGACAGAGCTACAACTGGCACAGCGGAGAAGTGGGTCAGCTCCTGTATATAATCAGAGCGAGCGGCCGGGACCAGAGTCTCACGTCTCCTGCTCTAAAGCCTCCACAACAGCTCAATTACTCAATGGTCCTCAACCCTTTTTTTATCCCAAGGACCGGTCGGCCGGTGTCAGCCGTTACTGTGGACCAGAAATACTGTACCATCCTGAAGGATCATTACATTTTCTAAATCAAACATCAGACTTTCTTCTGTTAGTATCAGAGTCTGAATGACCTTTGACCTGCTGTTTTGAAACATTGACAGATTATCTTTGAATGAAGAAAGTAAAGGGATATGACTGGATTCTTTTGGGATGAAGTAAATCAGTAAAACTGAAGTACTTTTTTTCACTGTGTCCCACTGCGGCCCAGTACCAAATGACCTATGGACCGAGACCGGTCCCTGGACCAGGGGTTGGGAACCCCTGATGTTACTGATGTTTATCACAACATAATAATAAAAAGATGAGCCAGACAGTCCAGTGCATTCATCTAAAAAGTATAAAATGTTCTATTTTCTGCAATAGCAATGCAGCAAAAATGAATGATGAAAATGAATGTTTGTTCAATGAAAGGCATTTTTTCTAAATAAATAAATTAGGCCTTAATTAACTGAATTAATAAGTAAACCTCATTGATTCTCTTTGTCTTTGACATATTCTTTAAACATTGGCTAATGTTTGAATTTTTAAATTCACTTTTCTTTAACTGTCACAAACTGGTCGTTGCTTCTGTTAAAACGGTGACAAAAAACATCGTGTTATAAATTAAATTGGACAAAATCCTGGATGTGCAGAGAAAAAAAAAGCAGAAGTTTGGAAAAACTGTTTTCTCCTTCTCTGCATCAAGCGTTCAATGTCAGGTCTGGTAGATAGGGGGCAGTAACTCTACCCAAAACGGGGCAGTTGTTCTTAAAAAAAAAAGAAAAAAGTTCTGGGAAGAGGCGAGAAGGGGGAGCTAACAGAAGCTAAGAAAACTGATACTGCTAATTACAAATGTTTTGAGGTGTACAGCTCCATATTCCTCTGGGTCCTCTGCACTGTAGAACCCAGTACTTCAGGCTGTTCTGTCTTGATAATCCAAACTGTCCCCATTGGTTAACTGGAGTTTAACACTTATCTATTAGGCAATCATTAGTATCAAAAGCTAAAGGTATTAGCTGTTCTCGTAGAAGGAGCAGCTAATATCGATGAGAAGCAGCGGCTGTGGCCTTGAAGCTAGTTTCTGTAGGACTGTAATGTATTTTCATTTTTTAATTTTGTTGAAATTTTAGTGAATAAATAGTTGTTGCAACACAGTTTGGTGAAAAAGACACACCTGTGCCTTTACCTTCAAATGGTAATGAGCCAATGTTTGAGCCACTTTTGGCTCCGCCCACCTCTCCTCTTTGTGACAACACAGAGCTGTTGTCATTAGAACAGGTTGTTTTGAGTTACATTTCTAGATTCTTCTTCTTCAATAGAATTCTTATTCTTAGATGTTTGACTTGCTTCATTGTGTAAATATTGATTTTTTTTTTTTTATCGGAGCACTGCACAGAAACAAACAGTCCGCGGTCAGTGGACAGTGGACACGAGACAACAAGACAGAAAGATTACAAGTGGAGGAGGACCCTGAGATGGAGCGTTGGTGAATGTTCTAGCAGCTGCCACTAAACCAGGGGACAGGTGACGGAGACGAGGTTCAGTGAGGTTGGCTCTTCACTCACTTCTGCTGCTTATGCTCTTATTGCACAAACCGTACAGTTTGAAATGCAGTGCTCACGCTCTCCCCTGCACGGAGCAGCTTCTCTTTTGCATAATACACACGAAACACAACGAGTTCTCCTGGTTGTTCCTCACGTGATGCTGGTTGTATGAATATGTCGGACAAACATCCGTCAGGGAAAACACTGAAGCTAAACACACAAATGTCAGACACGTCTCCTCCGTGCTGTCGCTCACTGCTCTGAACCCACACGTTCCAGCACCAAAAGGTCTGAACCAGATGCAACAAATTAACACAACACTGCATTGCACTTTGTTTAAGGCTCAATATTTTTTTCCAGTGGAAAGCAATGTAAACTTAAGGCAGCATGGATTTGATGTTTTGCATGTTTGTTTGTTTTTTTTAAAAAAAAGAAAGAAAAAAACAATTTCCCTAATATTATTTTCCATGTGAGGATTATGACGAGAGTGATGTAATCACTGATGCTTACATCCAGCGTCCATGCATATCTTTGTAGTGCATGTAGCATGAGAGCAGACATGGAAATACTACATGTATTCGGACTCTTTGCATCACTTGGCCTGGAAGCCACAATATAAAATATAAAATATAAATCGAAGGATTACTCCTGTTTCTCCTTTAGCACAGTGAGTCCCAACTCAGTTTGAAGGTAGAATGGTTGCAGTTAGTTCACTCCAGTTTTAAAACTATGTTCAACACAGACTCCGCCCTCACAGCATTTGCTGGTCTTTGTTTTTTCTTTTCCTCACAGCTTAGTCTCTGCTCGTTTTCGGAGAGGAAAGTAGAGGCAAAACATCCGGACGCTGAAGTCGAAAAAGATCTAAAGGGAGAGTAGGTGTGCTCAAAAAGAACGAGAACAGATATGAAATGATACTGCTGAAGGCCAACCTGGTCAGTGCACAGGTCAGTATTTAGGTGGGATGACCACCACGGGGTCACCAATCTTTGGCCGCCACATGAGCACCTGGGCGTCATTGGCGTTGGGCTTGACCATGGCGTTAATAGGGATGGGCTCGTTCTTTCCCAGAATCTGGGGCGGTTCTTGGATCACGGGCTCATTCAGAACGGCCCGCTGACCCAGAGGCTTGTCTGGGTCCACCTTAATATTGAGCCTCATCCGCCAGTGAATGGTCTGGAGGACTATGGTCTCTGAGGTGGCCTGGTTGATGGCCACCAGCCAGGTGGTAAAGCTCTGGTCGCGGTGGATGCTGCTAAGCTGAGGCACGTTGCTGTCACTGACTGGCACACTCCAGGTCACGCTGGGGTAGAAATTGTCATTCATACTAACAGTGAACTTGCTGTCCCTCTTGGTGGGACCTACGACAGTGCAGGTCTCTGTGGTATTTCCGTACCATGGGTAGTTAACACCGTCCGAGTCGCTGATGGCCTGGATCTTGCCGTCGCGCAGGTCAGGAAGCTCCCAACTGGACCTGGAAGTTGAGCAGACGATACATCGGTCATCTGTTATTCTTACCATCTTATTCTTTTTTTTTTAAAACAACTTTTTTTTTTTTCAGAAAACACTGATACTCTGGAAGAATACCGCCTAAAGCAAAGTGTGGAGCTTAGGACCTATTTAGATCTAACATGCTCAAAATATAATTGCAAATACCAAGCAACATGAAGCAAGGATGCACTGATTCCAATAATGGTATCAGGCACAAAACTTTATTCAAATATTTATACTCTCATACACACTGTGGAAAATTTCACTTTATTGGGCTGAAGCCGTGGCACAGTAGTGTGCCGTGGAAAATTTCACTTTATTGGGCTGAAAACTATTATTTATTTATTGTATAAAAATGTTCTTTGCTCGTCAAAGGATGAAAGGCAGAACAATCAAATACTCTTCTGCTAGGTGGCAGCAGATAGCTATGAAAAAAAAAAGGATAATCAGAGTATATCAGCGTTGTCTAAACAGGCCGAGAGTTTAGTTTTAATTATGAGGTCATTTAAACCAGAAGATTATTGCGTTTTATTACATATACTTTTTGTGAGATTTTGTAGGTTTTTTCCCTGTTTGTAAAACGTGGTATTTGGACGACTCTAGTGACGATGGCCTGCACGAACTCAAGATCAATTTTTGTGAGTTTAACAACAAATAAAGTTGCACTGCACTTGTCATGTCATTTTGAGCACTGTCTGTCTGTTCCAAAAACTTTTGCTACAAGTTGGACTTGTAACAGCTGTTTATGCAAACAACTTATATAACAATGGACTCTTTAGTCCTACTGACAGGTCTATCAGACCTCTAACAACTGCACTCTGTATTACTCATTCAGTAATCACAACTTAAGAAGTGGGTTTTTTGTGTTTGTGATAAATATAATTAATGTTTATAATTGGTGACAGTGGCTTAAATGTTCTGGAAAATCTTTTTTTTTCACAGTTAATAATTTGCAAATCCCTTTGACCTATTTTTAATGGAATCACGACATCTTTATATAGATCTGTAGCCTGCATGTACTGTAGTACTACAGCTGTAGTTACACAGGGCTGTGCACTTACTGACTCTATGTCCACTCAAACGAAGAAGATTACCTTTTGTTCCCTGATTCTGCTGGAGGAGAGGGAGATAACAGTGTGCTCACGGTCACATGACCTACACTACTATTGCCTGTACTTGCATGATCAGACTTCACACAGTGAGCTGTGCCCTCAGCTCTCAAACAGCCTGGGATTTAAAGCATTTCAACGAGTATCAACGTAGGTGTTTAACAACTGTGTTGTTCAGAAAACATTGTTTTTGGAAAAGATTGTGCTCTCATATAAACCAGATTTGTTGCATCAGATGTAAACAGCACGGCCCGGATGTTTTGTAGACAGGCTGGTGAAACTGTCATAGTCAAATAGGCTTAAAATGAGTATTCAGCAAGTACAAATGGTGCAAGTTCTCAGAAACTTCAGCAGAGCATCCACCTTTCCGCCTACCGAAACCCTTTGATGATGATACGGGGAGAGCTCTGCAGACACCTGCCTCACTTCCTGCCTCTTCACTTCAACGCTGGTCTACAGTGTTCACGTGTTTGTGACAAAACCTGGAGGATTCACACACCGTTTAAAGACAGTAATTACCTGAAATGTCCTGCCAAGTGATTCCTCAGCAAGTCAGATACTATTAATGATGCCTGTGGTTTAGGTCAATGATTACGTCACCGCAATTGCCCTAAAATTGAACAAGGAGGGCCGGGTCAGGAGCAGATAGATGGAGCGTTCGTGTGAACTAAGGTAAATAACATGTAAAGGTCATGCTAAAATAAAGGCTAAAATGCTAAAATGCTTTTATCATTTTCTACGCCATCTACTGGGAAAATGTGGGTATTGCAGAGAAAAGGCAGAAGTATAATAATAACATAAGTAATTATTTAATTTGGAAAAGTTTGGTGGGCCAGATTAAAAAGCTGAACAGGCCACATCTGGTCCCCGGGCCTTAGTTTGCCCACGCCTGAGTTAGAAGGTAACTGGATCATGGATAAATAGATAGATGGATGGATGGATGGATGGATGGATGGATGGATGGATGGATGGATGGATGGATGGATGGATGGATGGATGGATGGATGGATGGATGGATGGATGGATGGATGGATGGATGGATGGATGGATGGATGGAT